TGTTAATTCTTTATGACTCTTCCTAAAGAAAAACTTCATAAACTATGTTTCTAGTATTCATCATTAGAATTTGTGTCACAGAAATATTACTACCCTTTCCTGATTAGCTAAATATTTCTTTTTATATTGCAGATATGAGAATTGTCAGCTATGTAGTTTTAGGAATTATATGTCATAGTAGATGGGCTAGTTTAATTAAAGCTGTTCCACTAAGCCATCTTACTGATTGTTATCATCTTCCAGACAGAGTGCTTACATTTGAATTTGATACTACTTGAGTTCTTTGTGGTGTTTTTGAAAAATGATTGACTGAGATTTTGATTTAAACGTCTTTTTTTTTTTTTTTTTTGAGTAGTCTAGGTCGTGGTGCTTTGTGTGCAACGTATTAATAATGTTAAGACTTAGCACCTGAACATGAGGCTATGTGTATATACGGGTACATCTTAAGTCTTAGGAACTGTGGTGCATTTTTTGTCGAGAATTTTATTCGTGTATTGCAAAGATACCTCCATTTGTGTAGTGAAATGTTGCTACTGTTGACAGCACATGTAACTGTTGATGCTGAAGATGAATGACTCCACTATCACTTACTGTCTTTCAGTTGGAATTGAGGAATTTAGGCAAACAAGCTGCAGATTATTTTACCTGACACTTGGTTAGAGGCTTCATACTCTTTTCAGATAGGCAATTTTTTACAGTGTAATTTTAATATATTATAAAGGCATGAACACAGTACTAACTGAGATAAAATTCTGTCTGTGTGTAGTAGTTGTGTTTGTTTTTGCAAGTATGAGTGTGACATGGCTGGGAGAAGACTATTCATTTTTATATAGTGAGGCATACTTTATTGTTGCAGGTTAAGGTATATTGGAGCCCCATTTTGTGTGTAGCTAGGTGCCTACCCCCAGTGGAAAAACCTACAGGTTTGCTTTCTTCTTAAAAGTAGCGTAATTATGAAATTCCATACTTTGACTGAATTGTGCATCTGATATCTATGTATATGAACTGCTGATCATGCTGCAGATCTGACTGCCTTGGGCATTTGCATTTTTGCTTTTCAAGTGCTTTTGGCTAATAATTGGAGGCTAACAGAATTCTTTAGGACAGTACTTTTAACTAAGAGCTTAAAAAAAAAAAAAGAGACAAAAGTGAATCTTGGAAAATAGTTAAATGAAGTTAAAAGACCAAATTCAAGTTCTTATCATAGATACATTGCACCAATGTGTTTTAATCTGGATTATTTTGTTTATATTAGATCTTTGCTGGCATAGCAAGGAACACAGCAGTATCAATAACAAATAAAACAATCTCATTGTAACTGAATTAGCATTCACAGGAAGATGTGGTTTTGGTAGGAATATTGGAGTTAGGTTTTTCTGTTGCACAGAAAGAGTATAATTGTCCAATTGGATTAACCTTTTGTATGCAAAGACCGCTTTCACTGAGTTGAAAATGTATCTGGACTAATCTGAACTACTTTTCAGATGTGTAAAATCATTACACAGTGTCCTCCATGTTGTTGTTCTCTTTGAACTTGCACTTTAAACATCCTTTATAATATAAAATATATTTGAAATCAATCTCTAAGATCGTAAAATCTCTGTTTTGGTTTTAAAAGTTGCAAAAATAGTTGGCACTGTGTTACATTGCATTTTATTTCAGACAGTGACTTTTTAAGTGAAGTCCCACCATACCAGATAAGGCAGATGATACAGTTCAAATACTGGTTTTGTGAAGGAAGTTTAACAGCATGTTGTACTTGGAATAACTTGTCACACGTTCCACTGTGCAATATTGTCCACTGCTTCACTCACCATCTTAAGATAAAAATTATTTTATTTACATTCAACACATTTTTGGCACTGCTGGGTTGTTTTATTAAGGTCATGTCTTGTGTACTCCATGTATTTTAATTTAAAACTAAACCCGAACTTACCACTTTAGGGAAGGGGTCGTATTTTGTGATCACCTGTGATAGCAGGAAACTGAACTGGACTTGGACAGATGGTGTCCCATCCAGCCCTCTGTTTCTGAAATCAATTTGTTAAGCGTCTTGTTAAATCAATTTTTTATGAAATATCATCAGCGGCTTATGAAGTCACTGGCTGGAAGTTCAAATGACTTTCAGAAGTGAGTAGATTTTCAAAACTGTGAAGTGTGTTTACTTTTTCCTTTTATATCCAATCCGCAGTTGTCAAAATGGAAAGGTATGTGTTGCGGAGCAGTGGCTCTCCTTAGTTGTGCAGTTTCTTCTATGAGGAGAAAATGGGCTCGTACAGATGTGTGAAACTTGCACAAATTACTGCATGTGGTTATTGCTTCTTGGAGAGAGGGGAAAAGTTAGTTGCCTTTCTCCCTTGCTTCTGCTCTTCCCTCCTGTCTTGGATGATTGAATGCATGCTAATGAAAATAGGACATTACTTAAAACTTGTAATTGGACAGTATGTAATATGACCACACAGAACTCAGAGTGACTACTGGTATTCTTTTCACTATGCCACATTGATAAATGATGGTTTACGTGCTTAGTTGATTGTCCCCCAGAGCTGTGACATTGTGTAGTCTAGTCTAGTTCTAAGTATAGCAATTTGCAGATGACTGTATATCTGTTATTGTGAAAAGCTCCAAAGATACCCCCTTATATGTGAGAAATTGTTCTCAAACACCACAGAGCATTTTGGAGTCTGCCCTAGGATGAAAATGGTGGCATGATTCAGAGTACTAAAAATGTGAAGCTTGTACTTGGTTTTCATGCAGTTTTAGAACCTAAACCCATAGATATTTGACCTCTTTTTTTTTCTTTTCTGTTTTCTCCCCAATTGTATCCAAACTTTTTTAGTTGAGCTGCTCTCCCACCCCCTTGGAAAACAAACCAGTACTATGGTATAGGAGGCTTTTTGTGGTCCATCAATTCCAGTTGTAATTCTAGACTGTCTTTTCCTGCCAGCTGGGTTTCCCAGTCCTGTCTGTGGTACCATGGGCAGCAGCAGAGCACATAATTGTGTTCCAGTCAAGTTGTGTTCAACCACCATCTGCAAATGGGGTTGGCAGTAGAGGAAGGGATGGGGGTAGCACAGAGGAGGGAATGGGATAAGAATTGTAGAGAATCAAGCAAAAGTGCTGGGCAGCCTGTAAGGATGAACAGGGAGTTCCTAACAAGACTCAAATGTAAAAAGGAAGTATACAGAAGGGGGAAGTGGGGGCAAAGAACTGGGAAGGAATAGAAAGACATCTTCTAAGCCTGCAGAGATGCAGTTAAGAAAACCAAAGCCAAACTGGAATTGAATCTAGGTGGTCCTGCTCTGGCAGGGGGATTGGACTAGATGATCCTTTGAGGTCCCTTCCAATCCCTAACATTCTGTGTGATTCTGTGAGGGGTGTCAAAGGCAAGAAGAACAAAGACTTTAATGCAATAAATGGAGATTTATTTTTTTTTTTTACTGCAGTAAAAATAGTTTACTTTAAAACGTGAGAAACTTTAAAATGTGGGAGAGTTTGGCTTTGAGTGAGATCCTATTACTTTGTAGGTTGTTTGGCTTGCTTTCTGTCTCCATGGCTTGGCCTAGCACCTTGCTTGCTTCTGGAATGCAGTTCCCTCTTTGTCTGGCTTGCCTTCTGTGTTCCCTTTCCCCGTGGCTGTCCACCACTTTTCCCTTAACGTGGTGCCTGTCTTTTGGTACATGCTGGTGTCCGCAGGTGCTTGCTGACTAGTTTTTTTTGTTATTTTTTTTTTTCCTGAGAATCCTTATGTCCTGTTCTCCTTCATCCTCAGACAAATTTGATGTTGGCAGAACAAGGACAAGAAATGTAAATGTTTTGAATGTATTTCCTCATCTTTTTGCCTGGAAGCTTTTTTTTTATGTTTTCTTTGGATCTCCACACTTCAGATGCCCAAGAAGAAAATTTTGGCCTAGAGAGTGGAAGTTAACTTATTTTCTGAGAGAAGTGAAGCCTTCTATCTACTTTAAAACCAAGCTAAGAAACTGAGTAGTCTTCTGGAATATGCCAGATTGGGAAGTAGATGAGGGTTAAAAATAATAAGTGCTACTTAATCTTTGGAGCATCTTATGGAATTTGCTTGTGCCATTCAAGTTTTATGGTCACTGAAGCTAGATTCAGCTGTGAGCCTTGAGCTGAGAAGTATTTAAGTGTATGTTTAAGTCTTGGTGACTGTGGCGGGACTCGAGCAAATGTGTGTAGTTTAAGTATGCCATACTTTCTTCAAAGTGAGACTCTGCGGGGAAGCCTGTTTCCCGTGGTCTTGTGACGTGGGTCACTGGAGCCACCCAGGGCATGAGCCAGGGCTCTGTTTTGCCTGCTAGATCCATTGCACCTCTTCGTTACGTAAAAAAGAAAAATATTTCTGTGCATTCAGGATGTCATCTCAGTTGAGCTGCATTCTTTCTCTCCTGAAGGTTTCACTTTCATGTATGTTAACTGTTCCCTATCCTAGCATAATCTCTCCAGTGTGCCCCAAACCCTGGGAGATTTCTGGGGAGTCAGGAGCCATCTGAAGCACAGGCCAGCAGGGGCTGCTGTAGGAGTAGGAGATGGAGAAGATTTGCTGCCTCTCTTTTGGAGAAGCCCTCTTTGAGGGTTTGCTGCTGCTGCCCTCTCTTCTCTGGTACCATCCCCAAGCTCACTTGGGCTCAGCAGTGCCTTCCCAGCATGGAATAGGTGTCTGTCACTTACTCAGTGCTTTGCATGTTTTTGTATGTTCGTAAATTAAATACTATGTTTCATCCTTACAGTGCTGGAATTAACTTCAGAGTTCATATTTTGGCTCAATACGTATTTAAATGCTTTTTTGTATTTATTGTTTCTGTAAAAGTGGACAATGGCATTCATAGTGCTTATTTCCAGGTGCCCTTAGATTATGGCTTCAATATCATTTGTCCCTGAAGACCTTGTTGGTTTCCTTTAGTTCTGGGACGTAATTGAGTTGAGGATGATTAGTTGCATCCTTTTGATTGAATGTTGAGATTTTTTCCTTAATTCTTATGAAATCACCGTTAGCTGTTTTGGCTGCAGTTCTGTATTGGGTTAAGGCAGTGCTACATTGTAAATCAATATCTTTTCGAAAAGACTGCTGTAAATTGCCTAGATAGCATATGCATGGTTACTTTGGCTGCAATGCTGCTGCAGAGCCTGGATACTCTGCCTTTCTGGGAACTCCACAGGCAAGTCCATCGTATATTTAAAAAAAAAAAAAATATTTTTAGAAAGAGCATGGTATTGCTGGTGAAATTTAGATAGATAAATATTGTACCCTCAGTGCTCATCTGTACCTTTTATATTTTGCTCCACCGGGATTACCCTGTCTTGAGGGATTTCTTTGTTTTCTGCTTTAGATTTCCCCCTTTCTTAGCTGTAGTACAGCCGTACCATTTCAGCTTGCTAGTGCAGAAAGATGTTGTGAATTCAGTTGCTGAATGAGCCCGGCCTGACTGCAAACACTAACATTGCTAGAGAGATGCCAAAGAGTTGCAGGTGAATCTAACCTGATCTGGGCAACAGCAAAACGGTAAGATGGGGCTTGTTTAAATCTCAGGTATTAATTGGGTGCTGGGGTTTCCCATTTCAACCAGAAACCTAGTTATCACATGCTTCCAACTTGAACAGGATTGATTCTGTGCATGTCAGGGTGGGTTTTCTCAGGAATGCTTAAAATCCAGGCAGAGGGAGGCAGTGGGAGGCTGGGAGCACCACATGAGACCTCTCGGCAGCCACCCTGGTGAGACTCCCCGGCAGCACTGCCTGCGGTTTGTAAATATCAGGGAAAAGGTAGGGGAAGGCTTAAAAGCGATGCTTTTCTCAGTACAGCTTTGTATTTCTCTCTCCAGCAGCCTTATTTATTATTGTGTTAAGAGGATAGTATGGGCAATTTTTTCCGATATATGCTTGGCTGAACGCCCTCTGGGACGAGTGAGTGAAGGACGTGATCAGCCACTTTTTCGTCTCTGCTAACAAGTCTGTGCATCTTACTAGATCTGTATAAATGTCTTTATCAGTTACAGATTTACTTGGTGGTGGAAGATAAAATTAAACAATCCTTTATAATGCTGTATCATCAACATCAGAATATCTTTTTGCCTTGTTAACCTCTGTGATTGTTTTATTTCTCTTGCATGCAGTCTTTATTTAATAAAACAAAAAGTGAGGTAATCATTTTAAGTAGTCGTTCTTGAATGCTTATGTAGGAGTGTGTTGGCAGCGGTTTGGATCTTAGTGGAATATTTCAACATATGAAAGCGTAGAGCAGCAGCATGTTCAAGGAAAGAGAGGAAGAAAAAAGCAGCAGTTATCATTAGTACAAGACAGAAAGATTAAAATGTGGCTACTGTGTGGAATAATTTGAATTATTTTTGATGACTTAACTGACAGCTAGTGTGTTTCAGATGTAGATCAAGTCATAGATTAATTTCAACAGAAATCCAGTACTGAACAAAAAAAAAATATTTCACCATATGTTCTAGCATTTAAAGGGAACCAACTGTGATAGTAATGGTAGAGTGATGAAATATGGTTTTTGCTATTACTAGTTAAAAGTGAAAGCAGAGGGGTTTGTTTCTAGAGCAGTGTGTTTATACTTTATGTAGTATGTGAATTATACTCCAAGAAGAGATCAGTTGTATATCAATCTGGGATCAAATAACTACTTTGACAGCAATTCATGTTGCTTTTTCTGTACTTGCCAATTAAGGAGTTTTTCTTCTTAGTCACTGAATATGATTAAAGCAGAAAGATTCAGTCCTGTCCCAATTATTTTCTGAAGGTTTCATTATTATTTTATTGGATTTCTTTATTTTTTAAAATAATATTTTCTTAGTGTGTGGCACTGTATGTACTGCAATGTAAGTGATGTGAAGTGGGCTATTTCACACTGTATACAAACTTCATTTACATGGTTTTGTCTCAGAAAGTAGAGATGTTTTTTTTTGGTCAAAAATAACCTTGAATGTTTCTATTACAATAATTGTTTCAGCCACAAGCATTTTTTTATAGTTTTCCTTTGCTTATACTGTCATACCTGTTAATAAATTGCGAACCTTCAGTGCATTTGCTGTTGTTTAATGCATAAAAGTAATCCCAGTATTTGTGTTTGCTGTCATGTTGTACAAGAAATGAAAGTCCAGAAACTCTTAAGCGCGTGGGATTTCTTTTTAAAGGAAATTTTAAATAAGGGTATTTCTTAGAGATATTTTTTCATCTCTCTCTCTATATATATCTGAAAGTTGTTGCTTCCACCAGCTTTCTTCCTCCAAGTGTTTTTTCTCCCCAAATGTAAAACCATCAGCTCTGTTCGCTGTGTTACTACTGTTGTTGGAGTTGTCCCATTTTAGTTTTCTGAGCTTAAGAAATCAATAATGTTTTGGACATTTTTTTATTGAGAAATAATATTCCCTATGGTAGTATTTAGTTAAACACAGATCCTAAATTAACCAGGGGCAGAAAATAATATATAATGTGGATAATGTGGCTAAAAGTTAAGAATGCAGATGGGATATGTAAGAAATACATAGTTTAATAGACGGTCAGTATTAAGATGACGATCTTCTCGGTGTGGATCGGTTTTGTAGTGAGGCTGACGTGTGCCACAGTGGGAGATAAGAGCTTACCTGAGGAGTGAATGTTCGCCATAGTCTCCTTCATGTCTCTGACTCTAGATAGAAAGAGCTTCAAAAAGTTGGAGTTGAGCAGGCTAAAAATCATCAGTGTTGCATCTTAGTGCAGGGAGGTCAGCCAGTCCTTTGAAGTCCTGGCAAAAATGATCACCTCACTATCTCCTTTTAGCTGTTTTGCTGTGTGAATCTCAAACAAAAGCAAACAAAACAAATCCCTAAACCCAAACTCGCACACAGTTTGTAACGTTTCTTCCCTCACACGGTAAGCTTGGGTGGGCTGTTTAGAAAGCTGACCTGCGAGCAGGTGCTCTGTCTCGGGCGGGCAGTTCTCTTTCTCCCAGAGCCCCGACAAGGCGATGGCTGTGCCGTCCCAAGGGTTGCCAATTAGGTCTTCATGCGAGTGCTCCTGTCCGTCCCATGGGGTACTTCTCTATAACTGTGAGAGTGGATGTGCTCCTTAGAGCTCACAGGAGCTGCCAAGCAGGTGCAGACAGCTTTGTTGGCGTTATTTCTCTTTGAAGTCCTGGCAAAATACTCAGCTGTCAGGTGGTGCCATACACGGTTTGTAAATTGAGTTGGATAATACTAGCGTTAAAATTTTCCTAAACGTTTCAGGTACTGATACAATGATAATTACAGCTTACAAACCATGTTGAAATGAAGGAGAGTATCCTAGCAAATATGAATTGAAACAACAGAGAGAGACACTGTGATTCCAGTGCTCCAAAGCCTGTTTCTGAACCAAAGAAAAATGTAGCTGGTGTTCTTAATTCGGGAAGAACAGGTTAAATGTCATTTTCTGTGCTTGAGTTCCCTTAGGTAGGTCCCTACTGGCTTCTAACATCTTTGGTTAGGTTTTTCTTTTGGTACCATGGCAGGAAGGTACATGAATGGGAAGTTGGTTAGTTAAGGAACAGACTCTTAAGGACTTCACGTTTTTTCAATCCTGCTATGACAGCATTCATGTCAGGACAACTTCTCCCAGCAGCAGCTCCATCAGTCATGAAGTGCTTCTTCCACGTACATGATGACTTCTGGGTTTTGGTATAGACTGGTAAATACCTTTCTGTGACTGCTTTTTGCTTTTGAGATAAACGTAATGTATATTGTCAGAATTACTGATTATATGTTTCTCTTTCATGTGTGGCATGTTTTTCACCGATATGTTTGTTTCCACTGCCTAATATAAGTCTACGTATGATTCTGGATTTAGCAATTTAGGAAAAAGCAGATAGTGAAATAGCAATTTAGCATAGTGTTGGATGTTGAATTCGTGGGAGTGATTTTGTATTATAAGATTTTTTGAATCAACAGCTTTGATTCACTCTTTTGTTTGTCGTATTTCTGGGTGGATGAGCTTTCACCGAAGTTCCGGTATCAGTTCTGGACTGGCCCACGGAGGACGCAGAAGCAGGCAGTTTCATCTGTTAATTGTTGCAGTTTCATCTGATAATTGTCTTACCGCATGATGGTGTGCTAGTCAGAAATGGTGCGAAAAATGTGGGTGGAAATTTTTATTTTGTTTTGCAAAAATTTTTAGAATTTATTATTAGAATTTGGGAAAGTTAATGCTATGGTAGAAATTGCTATCTCATCCTGCTAACTAGGTCTGTTGCAGCTTTTGATTGAAAAAGATTTGTGATAAACTTCAGCTAGACGCTATATGAGTGTAAAGTAATCTAAGCTAGTAGTAAACATCATATCAGCAAGCTTTTGACCCAGTCTGTATCGTTCTATCCTGGAAATAGTATAGAATTCTTGTTAGTTGTATTTCAGTTTTGCTGTGTAGGATGTTTATAATTTAATATTAAATTGTATACAACTTACCTGAAGAGGAAAATACCAAATGTTGCCAATGAGCAGTGGGGAAATACAACGACTAGAAAAAAGCATAATGCCCGTTTACATATTGTGAAAGCTCAGCTTCATTTAATTAATTTCTGATGCTTTTCAGTCTACAGGTTTAGTATGTTTAAATATGTCCTCTCCCAGTTTATTAAATCTTTGTGTAAGGGCAAAGAAAATGTATTTAAACTTATAGAGAATATGTGTAGAAGATGCTTGCCCAGACTTCCCTGTAAATAGTGCATTTTTTTAACAAACAAATGGGTTCTGTCGATAAATATTGGCTGTAGAAATGTTATTTTAATGTCATGCAGAAGAGCTGTCTTGGAAAGTTCTACATTTAATGATGAAGGTGTTTGATTTTGCTACTGCCTGTGAAAGTGGTGAAACCACCACCCATGACTTTCAAGTTGGCAAGGAATTGCCTGTATTTGGCAACACAGTCCAGATACATAAAATTATATGATTATAAAATGCGATTATACTGCTCGTAGGCAACTGTGTAGGAAAAGTCATACAAAATATCTGCAGTCAGTTGAAGTTTTGTGAAATATTTTCAAGAGAAACTTAATGTACTGTAAAGATGGAGGACTTTTCACTGAAGTTGTAACTTTAACGGTAGATGTGATTTTTTGGGATTTGTTGTTTATTGAAAGTGATTCAAGATGAACTCACAGCTTTGGAGGTGTAAATTGCCACCAACTGCAGAA